CGAAATTTCGTGTACGTATATATTTAGATATACAAACAAAAATAATTCGTCGAGTGCAAATAATCATGTTAAGAATCTTGAGACGATCGTTTGATCAGTACACAAATTCTAGCGCATTCGATCCATGTTTTTGAGCGGAGCAGAGCAGAGTAGAGCAAAGGAGTTCAAGTTGGACTCAATAAACGTTCAGAGTAGCAACGTAGCGATCGACCACAGACCTTTTGAACCTTGTAATATTTCGACACTTGACAAGAATCAGCAGCAGCGGCATACCTGATTTTTCTTACAAGTCGACAACGCATGCCATGTACACATGTGCAATCACGGGCATACTGTAATAATCATATCATGCTGTATGTGTGGAGAAACTGTCTCCGCGGCGTGTCATGCAGTTTTACCGCCCGAAGGTTTGGACCTAAGGACTGTAACTCGATGCTTTAAAGATTATCCTACAAAACGCGCTTGAGGAAAGACTCAAACGAGAACCAGAAGTGGCATTAGTAGTCCTGCAGTTTGATGTAATTAATTTCCCCTTGAGCTCGTTTCTCTCTCTCGGGACAAATAACATGATAACCACCATTGAATGGCTTGAATTGGCTACAAGCCATTCAGACCTCCATCAGAGTTCAATTTAATGAAGAAAAGCCAATGTGCAAGCAAAGGCAAGGCCAGGAAAAGCCAAAGTTTCATGGGGAGAAAAGCAAAGCGTAGCGTAGTTTCGCTGCGAACCATTCAAAGAAAACATCATTCCCCTTTCCCCTTAGATCGGGTGGCATTTTCGCTCCATGACTGCAATGGAACGGTGAAGCTCATGCACTTATATATTTACCTGTGTCGGCATCAGCAACCAGGCAGGCAAGGAGGAAGAGAGCGTTGTTGTTGCAAGCTTGTTCACTCGAGATAGCAAGAAACATGAGGAGAAAAAAAAGCAGAAAGAAAAGGGCACTTCCACGATTGGCAACGCCAGTGGGGTCCAGTCAAAATACTTGAGAGGTACCATCAGACCAGGTAGAATCAATCGTCAGTCTGATTGTCAGTCTGCGTCACAGACTACAGTACAGTACTGTCACATGGCGAAGGAGTATCCATACTTTTCCTGTATGTATGGTATGACCCAGCCAACTAAATTCCAGATTCAAGTTTACAACTTTGTCCTGGAGGGTTGATGGTTTATAAGACAATCCTGTCGCGTGTCCAGACTCCCGAGTCCAGTCCAGTCCGACGTTTCAACTGTAAAACGAGTCGATTTCCCTCCTTTTATTCTCTCTCTTCTCTGTCTGGATCTGTGTATCTTTATCACCCTCGACCCATCTCCTCCCCTCCCTGCCCTTCCCATCTCTTCTCTTCTCTCTTTTCTTGGGAAGTTCATAATCTCTGTACTGCAGACCGGCAGCCGTCCATCCTTCCATGATTGGCTGCTCCGTAACGTGCTTCCATTGCTGCTCATGCTGCTGCAGTTTTGAGCGTGTTAGCGCATCAACCGGATAAGCTCCCTGTTTGCTTGCTGCAGCTTTACAAGAAACGTGCAACGAATGATCCGCAGGTCATTGGCCATATGCCGCGAGTCTCGCATTACTACCCCGGATCCCCGTGCCATTGGTCGACTATTCCTCCTTGTAACATATGCAACGTTTTAAAAATACCCAAATATCCAGCCCCTTCTATTTCTCAAAAGTTTCAAACGCTTGCTGTCTTTGGGGATCACTGGTTTATGTTGGACCAGGTATGATGAACTTTTCATTAAAGTATGTCCGTGACGATGGACCTGAATACGACTCCTGTACAATATTGTTCCACATTCTCATGACAATCAGTAACTTGTAGCTCCTACAACAGCTTTTATGAACCCATTCATGGTTCATGATTTCATTTCGCCTTTCTAGGCTAGCGAGATATCCTTGCTGCACTAATCAACAACCATTACGTAGTCTACATACTGTACATGCGTTGTTTATTCCCTATCCATATTATCCAGTCCTGCATCATCATCATCGATTTAAAGCATTCCTCCAGTGCATAATTATACTCGATAGAATTTATCTTCCGCTTTATCGACGTGGATATAATTAGAACTCGCCTTTCTGATTATCATTTGGAAGCTTTGGACCGAGAAATTCTATCTATTCCGAGTCCGAACGAACGAACTACGGCCAGAGTCTCGAGAAAGTGGATGGTGGTGGGAAGAACAAAGCGAACCAAATCGCTCGAATTGGAGTAGAATCTTTAAGACTAGAACGAGCTTGTTTTGTTTACCGAGCAAATAGGAGTGTCGCGTTTGATAGCATATCTTGATCGTGAGAATGGATCGAGGATTGAATATTGACAACGACAAGACGACGAGCTTGCGACGCTCACGAATCAACAACTTCCACTGCGATAACCTTCTCTCTCCGAATGAAACGTGTCTGAGCTGCGCGAGAAACGGATGAGGATTTGGCTCAAATCGACGATGGACTTTTGTTCACAATCGTCGTTATTCTTTTCATGGACGAAATGCTGACTAGACCGTGCTTCTCGAAGATCCTTGGATCTGTCTTATTAAGCTTATGAGCTCCACATCCTGCTCCATATTCATCGATCTAGCCAGGGATCACTTGACCAATCCAGTTGGAGCAAAGTAAAGCACGAAAAGACTAGGGAAAGAAAAGCGAATAGTATTGATTGCCTTATGACCATTCACTAGTTTTCTTGTGCGTGAAACAAATCACTTTGATTTCAGATAAATATGTAATTTTTATGATTCTTATTTTATAAGAACAGAATAAAATTTTAATTACTGTTTAAAAAAATATAAACATCTAACTAGTGATAACATTACATGTAAATATTCTCCAGAAATTTGTTAGTCCCGACAATTCGTTCATTCGTGCACTCTAGCGCCATGTTCCATATCTTTCAAAAAATTTATATCATACATTTGATTTAATCAAGTGAAGATTAATTTCTCTTCTCAGTTTCTTCAGCAATAATATTGTATTTTTCTTAATACAATATTATTACAACGGATAAGTTCATGTTACCGATTATTATATTTCTCAAATTCTTTCACTCTTCAAGATAAAATCCATATACTGAAAAATATGTTCAAAACTTGAAATCTAAAGATAGAAAATCTTCTTATCATAATTACAAATACTGAATCTTTCTAATTTTTTTATTTTAAACTATGATTTTCAGAAGAAGCTACACTTGATCGTGTTGTCTTTGATTGTATACGTCAATTCAACTTTGGTCAGTAGCTACAAACGAAACTCATCTGCTAGAACTCCTTCCAAGTCTTTAAGCGAAACATTGATATTTCAGAACTGTCTTTGATGTTCTTTTTCCGACACCCATGTCTTTGAATTCTGCATCATTCACTTATCGATCCTCCAGCATTATTGGCCACTATGTCCATAACCATGAAATTCCAGCACATAGAAGCTGAAACTCCTCACATGTCTCGACCTCAAGACCTCTTGATTTTACTTACATTTGACCCTTTCCAAGAAAATACATTATTGCTCCTCTTAGCGTTTGGCTTTCCACTATTGCAAGGCCTGATGAGGATGATCATAACAAATTCAGCCTCCACGGTTTGTTGCGCTCCAAATTATAATATATGCTCATTTTTAAAAAATAAAAATTTATTCTGAAAATTCAATTTTTAAATAACCTTTATGTTCCAACACATGAAATATGTAAATTCAACTTCTATAGAATGAGTGCAGGATAATTTCCCTGAGAGATTTGATGAAACCTAAAATTCCATATCATGCATAGAATAGCATAGTTTCAAGATAAATGTTTCTTTATTTAATTATGAAACCAGCCTTCACAATTTTATGACAAGCTATTAACTCTACATTTTTCTCCTGAAAAAATTTGAGATGTATTGAAAATTTTCGTATCCTCATCTTTAATTGTTTGTATTTGAGATCAGCACTATGATTCAAGAATAAGATAAGTTGAAATGAAACTAACATTTCTTTTGTAATAAGATTAATTATAGTTCGTTGTTAGCAAAAATCCCTTAATTGATTCTCTCATCAAGAAGTATGGAAGTTATTTGAAGCTTAATAAGGATGTATATAATGATCAGTTTCAAATTCATAAACTTTAAGAGATTTAAAATTTTATAAAATTGCCAAACCCCCTCTTTCCAGCACTTTTATTGTCAAGAATGGAGTACCCCAAAAAATTTAAAAAATTAATATAATGGGATAAATATATAAAATATCAACTTTTCAGCGACATAAAATTTAAAATAAACATCAGTGTTATTTCTGATGACTATTTCCGGTAGATGAAGTATTATGCTCATACTCAATGCTTTATCTCTCAATATAGTGAGTTGCCACCAGCAGACCCCATCTCTAAAAAAAAAATATGTTTCTTTCGTATCTTGACTAAATATTATATACAAGAAAATGTCTATATACAAGATAATCTTAAGGACAACATCCAAAATATAAAGTGAGAAGCGTATGCATCACAGAAAAATGACAACTATGTACGTCTTTAGATCATTTATACATGCAAAGGTTTTAGTTGATATGACTACGGATTGAAGATGACCCTTGAAAAATTCACCTTCAATCCATCTTAGATGGTTCAACTATTCATGCTAGATGAGAGTACATAAAATGTTACAGTCATATCCAATCAACTAAATCTATGCAAAATATCATTTGTCAAACAGGGCATGATATGATTTATTCAGATCCGACTTTCAACACTAAAATTGTGTGATCATTTATCAATGTCATATAAAAGTTACCAAGTTTCAGTCTCAAGTTTGTGACAACTTAAGTCTCAAATTGTTGTGCGTTATGATACAGTAGAGTTTGAACAACAAGCAATCAAAAAATCACTAACCTACTCGTCTCGTGTGATGCGTCAGGGTTCATGCTATATAATACAATATCGCAGTCACACAGACGCTATAATCTAGACTCGTATATTCGCCGTCGAAACACACGCCGAAGACACCTCCTCAGATGTGCCTCAGTCGAAGCGGTACGAAACCTCAGACCGTATGATTATACGGATGCGGAAAAGTTACGGACCGGAGATAAGGAGGAGGAAGTAGAATGAAGGACAAACTATTATTAGCGTGGGCTGTAAGACGACAATTAGTGCTGCTGGTCGTGAACGTGTCTGGAAGAGATTAGAAGCAGATGAGCTCGGAATCATCACGTTTAGCAAGCGACCGTGGTTATGATGTAAGAGTCCAGAGGAATGTGCAGCGAATCATGCAGACCTGGCGGTTTTGACGTGTGCTCGAGAAGAGTGCGGAAAGCCTCTTGATCGGCTCAGTTCCAACAATAGAAGCCGAGTTAAAGATTCGCCGAGGCTGCCCTGCACTGTGCGACCATGAATACATTCCAGGCTCGAACGTGTCCGGGAGGGACGAGCCGGAGCCGAAGACGATCCGCGCGAGGGCGAGAGGTCAAGCTCTAATGCTTCGAGTTCATACGTCTACGGGAAAGCGCAAAATCAAGTGCAAAACAGTCAAGAAGTAGGATCACATGGCGACAGGCCGAACCATCAATCAGAGTCGTATGTTCTCTCGTCTGACAAACTATGAAGTCGAGCGCGGGGTGACAGAAGACGGAGGGGCGATAAGCACAGTGATGCAAGATTGAGAGACGTGTCTGAATGGAAGATGGGAGGATCTATGTTAAGGCAAAGAGCAAGTGAGGGCCACGGTATGAGCCGATCTGAGCTGTTGAAGCCCGAAACACGACTGGCTGGGATTACCTACCAGGTCAATGGCATAAAGAACATGTCATCATCGTTGAACAAGAATAACGGAGTCCGAGAGTGTCGTGCCTCCTAGTAGGTGGATGACAGATAACGATATTTCCCACCTGTTGGGTTCAAATGCCATTGTGGTAAGAAGGCTCCAAGTGGCAAAACCCATATGGTTTGGCGGTGGGTCCTGACTTTGGGTCATAAATATCTCTGTTTCGGCGGAAAAGGGAACTGGCGCCATATTCCATGTGGCCAACCAGGTACTTCTCGGCCTTCGATAAGCGACATCGAGCCATTCCGTTTAATTTACTCTTCTCGTGATTCATGTGTTTCTCCCCTGCCCTTTATTACTCTCTAACTGTCACTGTCTTTATCCTTGCACACAACGCACACGCACTCGCTTTCATACTTGTCTGCTTACTTTAACTCGATATAGCATGTCACCTGCTTTGACTGTGGTACTGCCATCGATCATCTTCCACTCCTGTGCTCTCAGCTCCGTACTGTAGTTGTCCCCGCTTGACAGAACCTTTTGCTTTGCTTCCGGTGGGAAATAGTGATCCCTGCCTACACATACGGCATCTGCATTTTACTGAGTTTCGATGTTTGCTCTTCCAGACCGTGAACAGTGCTTCGGGTGCCAACAATGTGTGTGCATAGATCCATCCCCCCAATCGGCGTTTTATTTAAGCTTTGGGTGTGGAGACAATTCTGGTGGCCTCCCATACACAAGTTGACAGCACTCGTGTTGACGTAAATCAATGTATACGGAATCGAAAGTAGACCCGGTAAACGGTTCCAAACATTAAAAGACATACCGCTGTACGGGAAAACATAGCATTTACTCCTCATTTATCTAACCTTCTCTTCCTTCCTCGTGTTTACGGTGCTATCAATATACAAAAAGGCTAATATTCAAATGAATGTCGGTTGAGAATCCTTGTTATTGAGGCGTTGACAGTAACAATGAGAGGAAAACCTTTTCGAACGAAATCCCAAATGTGGTGACTTATAAACCAATAATGCGGTCGTTGCTGCTGTGGGAGATCAACCTTTCTCCCATTTTCAAAGGCTTTCAGTCTCAAGGAAAAGTAGGTATTGTTTATATAACTCCAGAACTTAACAACACAACACGAAACAAAATCCACCTGCCTGCGTTGTTCCCACATCAGCAACATCATCTAGGACCAGGATATCCTCCATCGAAAGAGCAACTTTGGGTCCCGAGTCATCCTCACGCTGCTTGAAAAATAACACTCCATGAAGAAATCCATTGGAAAAAGCATCAGCCAAAGAACGGTCGTACAACATTCATGCTTGTGCTCACGCAAACTAACACGATGAGGTAAACCATTAAAATTACCACAAAGTTCGTGTTTTCCCACGATCCTCAAGGTGTACGAGCGATATACATAAAAAACACAGAAAATAGTGTAGACGGGTGACTTATAATAGTGCAATTATAGCAAGAATTATACATTTAAATCGGAAAGACATCCAGCCCCACAACTTATTGAGAAGTTATCCTAATATAAGAATTTATTTATTTTCAATCAGGATTTCCATAAATTATATGATACTGCCAATAGTGGTAGCGTAATCATCAACTATTTTCAGCCCAACAGTACAACAGGAAGTTACCGATGGACTTGTTGAAATGCAGCCTTTAACTGAATTCAGTGAAGCACAGCTTGCGAGCAACAGACTCATGATAACGTGGCAGAAGCTTGCCGCTGCTGTTGGCCTTGACCTTGGAACTGAAGCCTAAGTCTCTCGTATCGATCAAGTTCTGCTTTTGACAAGGATGGTGTCAAGTCTCCCATAGCCTGGTTACAGCAGCTTTTTAGTCAGTGATTTCCTTACGAGCAGTTTACATGTAATGACAGCTGCAAAATCATGATAATTGTATAAATCAGTTTTCCAAAGTACCTTCATGAAGTCTTCTTGCTTGACAACCACTTCATCAATGACATTGTCGCTGCTGCCTCCACGTCTCCGTTCAGATTTTGAGACCTCAAAAATATACATATATTAGGAATCAGCACAAACTGCCCAGGAGGGACCCATCAATGTATTACAAGTGATAAAATAAAGTCCACTTATCTTCTACATGGAAAAAAGAGGTACCTCGCGTTTAACCGCTTGGTGCCACGCATCAGCACACAATGCATACATATCTGCACCAGTGTAGTTCACGGGGCATCTCTCTGAAAGAGCTTTTAAGGACACGTTCTTATCCAATATAAATTTCCGAGTAAGAGCTTGTAGCACCCTGCAAATAAGGGCCAAATGTGTTAAGGACAAGAACAAAAAGGGATCGGTTCATGACACTCTCTCACAGAGTATTTGTGGTTGTGAGTCTGCAGATCACCTGACCAGGCTTAGACTATTCATGACTTCTGACAAGCTTATAAACAGATCAAGCTCACTGACACAAGCAGATAACTGTGTTTAGGGTCAAAAGGCGAAATCAAAACTGCGTTCTCACCGCTCTCTGTACGAATTGTCTGAGCTTACTCCCACGTACAACAACTTGTCGAATCGGCCAGGTCGTAACAAAGCTGGGTCGATGAGATCGGGCCTATTGCTTGCTCCAATGATGAACAAATCCTAAAATCCCAATCACAGCAAAAGACGACCGGTTTGTATAGAAAACTAATCTGATGCTGCTAGGAGATATTTGCAGGCATAGAAAACATCAAATACCAAAACAAGCGTACATGATGTAGTATGTTTTTATTTCTGAACTTTGTTCGAGCAGTTGATTAGGATATCTTCTTCATGTATCATAAACAGTGCCTAATGCTCGCATTAACTCGCTTTGGATTGGCCATGGCTGGTTACCAATATCCATGGGCTCAAATACGGTATAAGAAATAACACTAAAATCTGATATCACACTCTAGATAGCATTTCCCACACTAGGACTGAAACTAACTCGAAATTATGCTAGAGTTCTAACTCCATCTCTGCTTTACAACAATCCAACGTATAATTACTTCTTAAGAAAAAGACTAGCAATATATATAGAGTCTAAAACCTGAGGTATTAACTAGAGAACCTAATGTACAGGTGGCGGATGTCTACCAAACATTACTTAGTAGATTAATAATTACCTACAATAAAAGTTAGAAATGACTTTTATTTTCTATAATCAATAAATCCATCTTAAATTACAAACAACTCCAAGATTAAAGATTACATCACTCTCACTTGATGAGGAGGCAGTTTCAGTCTCACTTCTTTTATGCAATTTCTCTCATTTTCTCTTTGCAATGCTTTAATATACTCCTCTCTTTTCTATGTTCATGTGCTTACAGAACAAGCACATCCGCAGTCATGTCATCCTATGGACAGTGTACTACTATAACTGAAATCTTCCTCTTCTTTCTTCTCATTATATCTTCTACGTATATTACTAAGATGAGGAATAGAGTCTCTAGTGAAAGCAATAGCTCCACAACTTAACATATTTATAACATAATTAAACACTTGGAACTTGTCAAGTACATTCAAGTTCAAATAACATTCTTCTGGACCATATCGCCTTTTGAGTCATGATTTCATGATCTCAGGTTCAAGTTTCACAAATCCCCAATGAGCTGATGTTGGAGAGTTAGTGTATTTGGCCAAAGCTCCCACTGAGCTTTGTCAATTTGGTACAAACCATAACATTATTGAACCTACTACACTTCGTAGAAAAAGGGCATGTTTTCAAGAGTCCCTTTGATACTTTCTTCCAGAACTTTTCTGAGGTTCAAACCCAGATCCTGTCAGAACAGATTTTGAATCTTCCATCCCATAGCTTGTACAAACTCATTGCACTTGGTTCTGGTTGGCTCTAATACTTCAATTTTTCCTATTGCTATAGAAGTTCATCCCTAATAGGAGCTTAGCATGACCTAGTTATGTGATCTAAAAAATAGGCCAGAGATATACGATAGCATTTCTAATTGCCTTGACTACCTTGATCATCAACAAATCATCTACGTACACTACAATGCTAACTACTTGTTCAGCAACCTGATAATGAAGCCTATTTTCTTGAAACATTGTTTCCTGATATAACAATAAAACTAGATTCTTATGTGTCGTTTCAACCCATAGAGTGGTTAGTTCGTCAGTCATAAATTTTCATATGTATAAGGTAACCATCATGTACATCCATGTCAATTTCTTCGTCTAAATTCTAGTTCAAATTTTTTTTACTGATAACCAATTGCTCTAGTTTCCAATCATTCTTGGTTGTTGAAGTTAAAATCATTCAAAGGAGCAATGTACTGCTATTGGGATGATTCAGGATGACAAATCACTTGAGTTCCCTGTAAACATGTGTTTACTGATTATCCGCCTCTTTCATCACCAACTCATACCAGTGGTTGACCTATATGTACAATTATGTCACTTATTGCAAAGCTCTTTTCCATTCAAGTCATTTCTAATATCCTCCCCAAACCACATGTCCTTAATCCCAACTAATTTTTTGGTTCTTGGATTGAATACATGGTACACTTCATTCTTTTTAATAACTAGTAAGAAGAAGCTTGAAACTTTCACTCTTCTTATAATCTTTCTGCATTAGACGATTAGCTAAACATCTAAAGATCAGATTTTTCGACATTTCAAGCTTTCTTTGACAATAAGATTTTGATTGTTTTGGGATAACTTTCGATTTGGAGGTAATTCATAACTCACAGAGTTATTTCCCTTAATTACATATTCTGATTAGCTTCAATAGTCAGCTACACACTTCAGTGTGAGGTTATGCTCACCCAAGTTAGCTTAAAGGTGTATCCAAAATTATATTGACTCAAGCAAGTTGATTTTACTTAATAATGCTCACTTTGGTATATTCAACTTCCTTGGATAGGTTTGCTCATTATAACATAGTTTGTTGTAAAACTTACGTGCGCATTTCACATTCAGTGACACCCAAGTATATAGTTTGTCCTTGTTTACTCGTCCAACGCATTGCCAATACATTGATCTTATCCCAGACATTTAAGATTCATCGTCAAATTTGTTCTTTACGTAAGTCAACGCTTTTGGCATGTTACTAATTTGATAGCTTTCACACTCCATTAGGTGGTTACACACTAAATCCACACATCATCCAAAAAATCTTAACTTTCTTCTTCTTTTCTCACCTGCTATATGAATGTGGAGGAATGGCAAAATTCCTTTAAGTCACTACACGTGTCACGATAGGAAGCACTTTCAGTAGAAAGTAAAAGAGTACAGTTGCTACATTTGCTTAATTTGGAAGAGAAGGGCAAAACTCAAGAACAGAGGATTGATTGGAAGAAGAGGAGATTAGATCCTGGTTGAAAAATCTGCAGACAATGACATTTTCTACAATTACATGACACCTTAGCATAAATAATGGGAGTTAAGATATCTTGAATACTATCTGGATTAATTACGTGATTCTCGTATGAACTAGGAGAGACATAAACTTTACACTTATCAAAGAATACTAGAAAATACCAAGAATAATAATGGTGATGAATCTCACTCTTTTAGACATAAGCCCTTTCTTTGCATTGTGTTGAATGACTAAACATAGACAAGCAACTACCTATAGTGTTACATAAAAATCATAATTATATATCTAATTATGTTAGAAACTTGTAATTATTTAACAAGTTCAGTCGCAGTAGGTTTCACGAGCAATTTGGAAAAATGAAATAAAAGAGATAGAAAAGCATGTACAACTAGCACACTATGGAGTACCTGATGGCAACTTATTAAAGCGGTTGAAATAAAGCACAAAAACTCAGAAAGTAATTCCCTGACAAATGAATATCCAACGACATTGGCAAGAGAGCCAACAATGTACAATAACATAAGCAGTGTGTACTTACTTGTGAGTTGTCGCTTACTCCATCAATTTCAGCAAGCAACTACAACAGCAGCCACAGTCCCAAGAAACAGTTGTTAGATTAAGGATACATACTTGTGCACCTTCAAATGTCAATTTTGAAGTGCAGAAATGTCACGTGTACTGCACTGCGACATGTGACAGGACAAAGCGGCAAAAAACAGGACACAGGAGCAAGAATTGGAGTTTGAGGATCCATTCTAGTAAACACCTGAGATACTACTCGGTCCATGACACCGCCTGAATCGCCCGATGCCCCGCGTGCAGGTGCCAGAGCATCTAGCTCATCAAAAAACACCACACAAGGTCTTGCTGCTCGTGCCTGTTCGAAAGTCAAAGGTCAAGAAATGCGCTTGTATCTGCAAGCCTTTGTTCATATAAGGATATAACAAAAGGCAGACTTAATTTAGCATTCTACAAATGGATAATCCCACTAATGTACGTACCTTATGGAAGATCTCTCTAACGTTCTTTTCAGACTCGCCAATGTACATGTTTATAAGCTCTGGCCCCTTGACACTTAGAAAGTTAAGCGAGCATTCTGTGGCTACTGCCTTCGCCAATAGTGTCTGGTCAGAAATATACAATGGATTAACAGTTAGAAACTAATTCGACAAACTAATCACTGAAAACACTTGTTTAATAAGCACAAGGCATTAACCACTTCTCTTCCTCTTCGTCAGTGTACCTTGCCAGTCCCTGGAGGACCATATAAAAGAACGCCTGAACGCTGCCGAAGTCCTGATGCAAAGAGCTCTCTATGTTGTAGAGGCAACTGCAGAGGGTGAAACCAATTACGTATAAGTACCTACTTACTTAACAAGGTCTAAAGTTGACCTTCCTATTCGGTTCTGTTTTGACGCTCGTCATCATGATCGTAGTCCAATAATATTTTCTATTGTAAGCATTTCGCTTATCTTGCACTCTTCTCGTTGCGGTTGCTATTTAGCAGCCCTATTAACTGTGATACACGTAAAGTCCATGTACTACAGTTCAATGGAAAGTCCTTTCGTTTAGTTTTTCTCGTTTCGTTTAGTTTTTAAAACAGGGGTTTCCGAGCCTTGGCAATAGGCTTAAGCCTAAGACCCAGCTGGGAGTCATCCCTCTGATCGAGAAGACCAAGATCGGTGACCGACCCGCTAATTGCGCACTATGTGATGTAGAAGAAGGAGACATTATCCATGATCTGGTTATATGCAGCACCTTTGACAAAATGAAAGCGAAATTATATCACAACATCACTCATATACTGGAACCACAAACATAATAAGGAGTTCTAAGCCTTTAATTCAAAACCGAAAACTGATGCTCTCAGGTTTTCTTTGTGTCAAAAGAAAGAGCACATTAATTTCTCGATTGACACCTGGAAGCTCTGACCGAGCCTTTCTACGGGAAGAAATATTCCTATAAGAGAGACCCTCTATATTCTCAAGAGTTACTGCTTATTCATCACACGTCAATTCTGAATCTTCTCGGTCTGTTACTCGCAGAGCCGACGAGGAAGGGCGTTGGATATATATGGCCTTCAGACTACGACAGGAGATCTCCGAGGAGCACAGCTTTTGAATCTTACTATAACGTCGTAAAACATAGAACAGACATAGATACCTGTACGGTGTCCAAAATAGCTTTCTTCACATCCTCAAGACCACCCACGTCCTCCCACTTCACATTCGGTACCTGTCTCGACACAAGAATCACAGTACACGTGCTGGAGTCAACACAAATAAGGCCAAGCGTAAAGCAGACTTCCATGAGACTACCTAGAATGAGTGACATCTTTCCAAATAAGAACATACACAACTCAGAAATATCATTCAAAACCAATGATTTGCAAACGCCGCTACCTTTGGAGTGCCAATGGCAGATGCTGTTCTTAATTTGACTCTCTCCAACACCTTTTCTAGATCTCTGGAAGTAAGGCGCACAAGGTCTCGCATATCTGCGTCTTTGTCTTCGTCGCTTGGATAGCTCTCGCCGGTAAACTTGGATTCGTTCTTTGGTTCCAGGATAGGGTGAGACTCCAACTTACTGCTGAAAATTTCTTTCTCCGAGTACAAGCCATCCTGAATTAGCCGGGTGATAGCAGCAGCGCCTGTATCCGCTGCTACTGACCGCAAGTCTCGAGGTGTAAGACCAGAAGTCTGTGATGCAATCAGCTTCAATGACTCCTCCAAGGTGTCATCCTGGACAAGTCAACGTGAAAATTTACAGGATCCAATATCAATATCGTATGCAGACGAAAGGATACCAATGACACTGATCACGAGAATTACGATTATTTTTTGATGAACAAAATTCATCCGGATCAACATTCCAGACATCTGCTCCTACTTTCCAACGAGTATCTTTTAGGACATGATTACCGGGAGGTGCCAGAGACAAATGTGCGAAACTGTACCGTAGTATCACGCTCCCTCCTGCCAAGATAATGATGTAGTATGGCCAGCCTTTGATCCTCATCTGGCATTCCGACTGCCAATTCATGAGTGAAGCAACGGCGAAAAGAAGGGGTAAGATTTTCTGCACTTTCGCAAGCGGCTACAACCAGCACAAGTCCCTCTCTAAGCCCATGTCCGATGCCTGCAAACTTCAACAGAAAAACGTCCAAGTTGGTGCATATGCAAATCAGCAAAAAGAACTTTTTCTGAATATTCCCCGAGTTGCTCCAACCAGCACAAGTCCCTCCTGGACCCACTTTCCATGCATGAAACTTGTATGAGTTGGTGAATATCCAAAGACTTCCTAGATGGTGATCCACCTAAGTGGATTACCAAATAAATCCATCTGGTTCAAAAGTAGAGAACAGAAGCGTTACGGTCTGGTACCTTGAGTGGGATTGAACCAAATTCTTTGCTTTCAGGGCCTGTACTTTCATCCTCATCCGTCCAAAGATTTGTGCTGACGTCGTCTTCCTGAATGGTGTTAGGCAAGTGAACTTGGATGCATGTCTTGAGCACAGATGTCACTCGAGATACAGCGCCTTGCTGGTGTCCAGGAGAAGTTCCCCCTGATGAAGATTTGGCCAAAGCTTCAAATCGGCGAAGCAAGAGTATAGATGGAGAATACCTGCCGACATTTTTAGCCAATATCATAAACAAGTTGTTTAATTCAGTTTCCAGGACGCCTAACAGCGGTGTTTCTAGTTACTAGTAACATCCTTTCATTTACTTTTCTCTCCAGAAACTCCCGACAGAAACCTGCTTGTTTGATTTTATTTTTTTGCTGTTAGAAGCTGACCTTTTAGCACTTTTGAACGCTTCAACAAGAGCAGCAGTTGTCTTCCCTTCTGTGGCTCCAACAAAATCATAGCAATTGAACTCCAAGACATTTACACCGAGATCCTCTGCAGCTAATCTCACCACTGTTTGTTTGCCAGAGCCTGTGAACGTTAACCTTCATTAGAAGCCTTCTCGAAAAAAGTTTTAACACCACTGTTCCTACCCAATAAAGTATTCTGCTTGAGTGAACAGACTTTCTCAAATACCCAAAACCTTAAACAGAAGAACGTTATTACTTGTCACCATGGTTCACTTTTTAACAATTTCTAGCAATAAGAAAACTGCAGCTTATTTGAGATTCGAAGCATCTGATTCTCACACAATTTGAATATCTGAGTCAAAAACAGAAAGAAAGTCCAGACACATTACTACTTGTGAAAACCTTTCCTCCATTGGATGTAAAACTTTCTTAACATTCCAAGCATCGTATCCCTTGAGAAAAAGATAGTCTGCAACTGCGCAGCTGCCCCTCTGCAGTGCAGTAGCGTTTTTACTTTGAAAATTTATAATGCATGGACGACACGAACTCAACATACCAGATGGCCCATGAATAAGTACGGCCAATCGCAATTCAAGTGGAGTAACTCGGGGATGCAAGCAGGGTGCAAGTAGTTGTGACAACTGCCGAACGGCTGGAGTTCGCAAGAAGACCTTATGAAGACGAGCAGACCTTGTGAGCGGAGGTAATTGAGTGGCCAAAGACCCCGCAAGAACCAAGGCAGTGTGGTTGTGACTCACACATAAAAACGGTTCTGTAGAGGGCTCAAGAGCAAGCACCTACTGCGACATGCAAACAAGCAAACGATAAGCACAAACCTAAGACACTTTTCTAGCTTATTTTGTATGAACAAGAACGAACTTAAGCACCAAATACAAAATTTATAAGCAAAGGAACCAATACAAGGACTTGCCTTATAATAATGCTCTCGCTTGGAGTTTGCCTCTGAACTGCTACAATAAAGGGCCTGGTGACCCTCAATTGGGCCGTGCCCATGCCCAAGCTGGACCGAAAAAACATCACCCTTGGCAAGAAATCTAGGGAGTTTAAAAAATTCCCGAAGAGAAGAATCTATCTCCGCTTGGCGTCCTTTCGTTGGTGGATGGAACAAACTTTCACTCGGAGCTCTCACCATTCCAATCCGCATGTGAGATGCATGTTTGATCCTAGGCAATCGGGGCAGTCTACGTCCTGTCAGATATTCATTCACTAAACTCTTGTTTTCAGACAGGGGAGTTTCCAGGATTGGCAGAAAAGGACTTATGATTATGGAGTGGCACCAAGAAGGAGTTTCGGCAAGACTTTTTCTTGCGGTCGATTTTTCAACTTGATTTTGAAGGTTTTCATCCTCATGCTTCTGATCAGGTTTAGAAGAAGTTAAGAACTCGAGCCACGACACATGGATACCCAGGTTCAAAGCCAGAACTGGAGACAGATAGGCCACACAATCATCAACTGTCGGATTTTGGTCTGCGAAGTAATAAACCGGAAAACCGTTCAAAGTAGACGTTTTGACCCCTTCACTGGTGTTAGAAAGTTCATGTGGAGATCCTTCAGCTGGTTCAGGGCTTCCTGGTGGATCAAGAACCACTACCCTTGCTGGCCTTGCCAAATTTGTTGACGTTTCTCTCAGGATGACCTGTAATCAACTCCCCCAACATATAAGTCAGCATCTCTCTATACTCAGGCACCGTGAAAAGCTAAAGCCTTTTGAGATACATGCCGAATGAGATTAATTCGACTTTAAACGTTGTGAGATAAGGGGAAAAAAGCTTCACTTGATAAAACGAACCCTGTACTCACCCATGCACCAGAACTTAATGAAAGACGCCTTAGAAGAGATGCAGAAACTCCTACAGTCGTTAGCTCATCAAAGGCGGCAATTTCATTGCCTCCACCTCTTCTTTCGAGGAGCTTGATAATCGCAGTTGACTCATCCTCTACAGAAGAACACTCCGCCAGAGAGTTTCTTCCATTCCAGAGAAGCAGCCCTGCAGTAAGGGCAGTACTCGGACTTTTTAAACCAAGATCCGTCTCCACTTCGTTCTCCTGCCCCAGTTCCGAACAACTCCTACTAAGAACATTGTCGACGACTGCAGCTGTACTAACCAAAACAAGCGGATTCCTCCGCCTCCCCGTTGGCATTATTGTTACGGCTTTGACACCGAGATTCAGGAAATTTTTTAAAATCTTGAAGGAAGTAAGCTAAGTACTGCCTCCCCCTGTTGAAATTAGACAAGGACAGGAGCTAATTAGGTCATGAAAGCAACACACTTCAGCAACACCTTAAAGTCGGCTAGAGAAAGGATTTGAACTTGAGAGAGAGAACATACTCAATAATACTTATACTCCGACTTCCAACGTCAATGTGGGTAAAGCCACGAACTTCGTCAAGAGACAACAGTGGTGATAACACTAAATTTTTCATCGATTATCATGCCTTCCCTCACTGATATGATTTGTAGTAAGACTAAACGACTGTCGTAGTTCACTTGGCTGTAGCTGGATAGAACCAGTTTTTGACTTGCTTTTAATGTATCCAACATCTCAAGCTCAGAAAAATTCCATATCCTGCAGGTACAGTTGTTCCATGTATGCGGGAGCTGCACTTGCTATTCAATCGCTACTCTTGATTTTACCCGAAAAAAAAGCGACAACACGGATGCTGAGAAGTCACGATGCCATGAATTCAGCGCTACACACTCTGAGGTCTACCTTAATGGGCAGGTTCCACAAGAGTGAAAAATGATTGATCAAGATAATTCTTTGTAGCAGCATGAGGGAACAATTGAGACTCATTAAAACAATTAATTCACAGCTTCAGTTGGGACCAGAGAAAGTGCAAATGATACACACATTTTACGCACTACAGTCCGGTCAATCGGACTCGTAATATCTCCAGTCCTATTCGTTTCTAGAACAAAATGCAAGCATGAATTCTATACCCCGATATGGAATCTGACTTCCCGAGCCGTGAGGAAGTAGTATGAAATTCTGTATCACAATCAACTCTGAGCACCTCTGTAGTTGCAAAACACAGTAAAAGCATCGAATTCAAATTCCCAACACCTCATCAAAAGGTGTCAATACATGGAACAACTGTACCTAGAAGGATCCTGAAGCTAGAACAACAATCCTGAACTGATTGCTCATCAAATCACAATCCTGAAGCTAGAAGGGAAAATTATGACACATCCAACATTCCGTGCTCTTGTGTCCTTCTTGCTCCCCTTCAAGTGCATAGACCTGTACCTGTAAAATCATAGAATACAAAAAAAAAAGAGAAATTTCACACACCGCTCTTGATTTTCGACTCACCACGCCCATAAATACAGCTGATTTTCTTTTTGATGCCATTGATCTGAGCGCGAGTAGATATAGTTAGCCCGAACCATCAAAGAAAATCAAGAATTTTCATACTGGGGCCGACAAATTTCACAATTGGCCTCGCACCGAAAGCGTTATCTACTGATCTGAAGTCTTAGACTTGCAATTCTCGTCCTGTCACTGGAAATAGGTACTACCTACTCTGCGCTTCTCTTTTCCCTTACTCTGCATTTCCCTATTCTTGACTCTGCAACACTGCGCAATTTTTAATTTCGGTCGGTATTTCCAAAAGCATACATTTAATTACCCAGGGGCTTTCGCAACTTTCACATAAACCTCGTTGAGAGAGTTTTAGGATTACTTTATCTTTTTACCATTCATGAGGTCCATGTAGGGGCCAATTTTCAGTTTATGACTATGGTGTGACTGGGAACATGACTCTCATTGACAGCCATGTTGCTACTCTTCAATTGCAGTCAACAAAAACGAGGTAGGCCGAAGATACATTCACGTTTTTCTAGCTATCAAAGAGCATCGTCTTTATTCAAATTGGAAGTACTGTAATCTTGGTTCTAAAAGAAAATCTTAATGTTGGATTGAACATTGGAAAAAAATTTCCTATAAAATAAGACAAGGAAAATGAATTTTTTTTAAGAATCGTGACAAGAATCAAATCACTACATGATGATAGCACCGACTTTTTTCAGTTTTAATATTGGGGAAATAAATTATTTTTAAATTTGTTGGATCGAGAAACAAATGTTTCCACACGAGTGAGAATAAAGAATACATACTAATGTAAGCATAACTCAAATTGAATATTTGCTCTACTTAAGTTAACTTTAGTTAAGATTAGTTCAACTCCCCATTATATATGAGTGCTATACCTAGCTCACCTTCAACATTGTTTTAGGTTTTTCAGTTAAAACTTATGTTAGTCGGAGAATCTGCATACTCTTGTAGTATTGTAGATTTGTAGGATTTCTTGGATCTTAATTTCACAGTTGATATCATAACAAACTCGAGAATCGGACCTTGTCGATGTTGGTAGCATAAGCATTGATGCATCTAGATTTTTTGCTACGGTGAAGTCTTGGAAGAATGAGGATAACCTACGAGTTGTTTTTATTCTTGATTGCTTCTTTCACTTCAGACTTGACATTGTTGGATGAGATCGTCAAGCAACAAAACGAGATTCGCAAGTAGCACTAGAGTTTATATGTTGGTTTTTATTGATGTAGAAAAACCATGAAACTTGCATCCCATGAAGATGAAAGTTTTTCTTTTTCCAAAATTAATGCAATATCATTATTATTCTCTATACTAATATTATAATCTTCAATAATTGATGAATCGGATCATGAGATATGTATGATTCATCTGGCATTGAAGAGATGATGACTCTATTAATCCAATTTGATGATTTTCTTGTAAACATTATTGGTTTATGTCTATCATATTGTGCAATAACATGAATCTAATCAAAGATAACCTACTCCTCTAGTTATTTCTTTTCAAGAATTGGTTCTATCACTACATAAGTTTTTCTTTGTGTCACATCATTGATTACATAATGATCAATCTCCACTTTAATAATATTGTGCTGTGTTATGTCTGATACCAAAACATCTAAAACAATCACCATTGAGATTTGTGATTTTTAATTGTGAAATCTAACATATATTTCATTCTTTCAATGACTAGAATTATCAAAGTAAATGCTCTTACTAATAATAACTTTATAAGATTCTAGTCAAAACTCAAGTATCATGACATGAGTTATACCATGCTCTTGGATTATACTAACATGGGTTTATACTGCACTTGTATTTTACACTAACTTGAGATTATGACATATCTTGATCTAGGTTATAAAAATGACCTCGTGTCATATAGATAACTTTGTGGCATAAAGAATTATACCACTGCATACAAGAACAAATCAATTTATATAAGATCTTAATATACAAGCATTATCATGAAAGTTAACAACAAAAGATGTACAAGCATTTGAGAAATAACTATTCATACATTTATTTCCAATTAAAATATAGCACACCAGAAACAAGAAAAAAAAAAGAAAAAAAAGTTTAACAATAATTTTATTTACATGACAATAAGAACATTTCTTTATATTGAAATCTTATTTGATCATAGTAATTTTATATGATCAAAGATCAAATAATGGTTTTTTATATAATCATTTTTCATTAAAATTTTATTATGGAAAAAAATTTCAATTATATTTAGCGAAAATAAATATCTTTATTGTAGCAATTAATCAAAAAATAACTTCACAAAATGCGACATTTGACAAAAATCATTAAATGTAAACTTGTCTGCAATTTTTGTAAATATTTTTGTTCTTTGGCTATCACATTTTTACACTTCAATCATCATCATTTTTCCATTGGCCACAAAGAATTTGTTAATTTTTCTTTAATTTTCATGTTTATTTAGGAGTTTTTGGCCCAAAAATCATAAAAATCAAGAAAATATTATTTTTAAACTTTTTTCTACAATATTCTATTTATTTTAACTTTGTTAAAATATGATGTTATTTTTTTATGATGATATGATTTTCATCTTGAAAGAATATGAAACAATTTTATTTGAGACTTTGTTAGATTTATTTGATTGAAATGCATCAATGTACAAAATAATAAATTTTAATTGATGAATATGAGGATCTGAGAGTAAGGGAAAATTTTAAAATATGATCAAATGAAGAAGATGTTATAGAATTACAAATTGATATATATTTTAACCAAAGGTGTACAATAGATTTATAAATCAATTTGATAATAAAACATTTTCACAAAATAAGAAAGATGTGGATCACAATAATTTCACAAAACAAGAAAGATGTGGATCACAATAAGTTCTATCTTTTAATGACAAATTATGACTTTATATTCTAAAATTGTGACTTGATTAAATACTATTTTGATAATTTCATGATTATTTTGATAATTTCATGATATGTTTAAATATTCAGATAATTTTTATTCATTTTTCGTCTATAATTGAAATATCATATTTTTTTGAATCTCTATTCCAATATATTATGTAGAAAACATGCTTATTGTTAAAACAAATATGATGTTAAAACATTCAAAGAATTTGAATTTATTGACTTGACATTTGAATTTAGACAAAAATATCTTAGTGCAATGAAAATTATTTTGTGTCTAGAGTTGTAAAAACTTAAATATAAAAAACTATACATTAAGTAAGGCAAAAGTTTTCAATTTTTTTTGCAATATTTAACTTGAATAATTGAAATTCAATGATTATTTTTGTTACTTTAAAGTTTTTCATTTCAATATTTCATTACCATTTTTTGAAGAATAAGAAAAAGAAATAAGTTCAAAAATTTTTACAACAAAAGAGTACTAACTTCTATGTTTTTGATAAAAATCACTAATATCAATATTGCTCTTGTTTTAAAAAAGATGAAAAATAACATGTCAAATTAGAAAAAATTCTTTCCTTTATTAAAAATATAGTTTAAAATGTTTAAAATTTAAGTTGCAATTTGATCTTGTGCTTGATGCAAAATCATGCAATGTCAAATCATTGATTGATTATGTAAATGTTGAATTGAAAATGTGTTTTGATGAAAAATAATATAAGATTAAATAGGTGTGTATATATATATATATGAAAATAATTGAATGAAATAAGATATATGCTTTAATCTATTAGAAAATTTGTACATGGCAAGCAAACCAACAAAATTGATAATTTAATTGAATATATTTATCATAAAAATAAAATTATTCATCAAATTTAATTTTTTTATATAGATTTGAAAAAATTATTTATTCAAGCATTAAATTGGAAATTTTAAATTAATGATCATGTTTATTTACCTAGATCACATTCACATTAAGAAATAATTTTCTAAAATAAGCTACGTTGAATAAAATTCTTGAGCCAATCAAGATTAATAATTTACTCAATCTTGCGTCTTTCTTTTATCAAACTCTATCAGTTCAATGAAAGCATTATGAAATAATTTTTGTATATAAAATATACATCTTGTTAAACACACATGTCTTAGTTAAATTCATTAATTTTTATCAAACCATGCATAGTCACACAAATTTCATTTCACTTCTTTCTTCAACATTGTTAGAATTGATTCAATTTTCATATCAAACCTTAGTGAATCTAGCTTGAGTTAGAGTTGGAATCACGATTTCTCTGGTTAAAATTTAACCTAGTAATTATGAGGTGTGTTCACTAGTGTTACAATGTAGCACAAGAGTGTAAAATCATATACATTCCTTTCCTACATTGTGTATGCGTGTTTTTTTGATATTTTGGTTTGTGAATATGTAAATACTTGTGTAACTTGTAACAATTGATATCAAAAAAGACATGGATACCAAATTGTAGTTAGAATTATCATCTTTGCTTTAATCTCTTACTTGAAAAGACAAATATGTTGCGTACGGAAGCAGATTTGTATCTTCAAGAAAATTTAGTGCTTAGTTTAATTTTACAGTTGATGTTCATTGTATGCATAACTATGATCTTCATATGCTTCAGTTTTCAATATCTTTGTTGATGAAAGTTTTTGTTTTAAAGATTCAAAAAATTCATAGCCAATATTACAATCAAAGATAGTTACTAAATTTTTGTGAGATGTGACGGTTTGAGATTGTTTCTATTGGTCAAATGGACTTGACGATCAATTTCATGAATCATAATAAAAAAAGGTCAACAAAAGTTACAATTATAAGAATATGTAACATCTAATAAAAAAATTGTAATGTTTGACTACAAATTTGGGCGAGAATATGAATTGATAAAAATAACTATGTTGTTTGTGACAAACATTGGATATCAACAATTTGGTTTGAAAAGTTGTTAATCGAAGGCATGATGACGTATTTTGCGCCAAAGGATTCAAATGCATTGACGCAATTGTTAAATAGCAATGTTTTTAGTTCAAAATATTGCGATTAAAGCTCATCAACGATATACAAAATTGATGAAAAAATAGACATAGACAAAAAGTTCATGTGAAAGTGAAAGAAATTTATTATTACACACAAGAAAGTTTAATGAGATCGCAA